CACTTATTGGACCAATTACCACGGTTCGGATTCTCATCACCCCCAGATGTCAAGCTTACCTGATCCCCCTTTAAATAAAATAAAGAATATTTTCACATAAAATATTGCATTGGATTATTTCGTGTGACTATCCCAGTGGATTCTTCTGGTGTCGAATTGGGCAGTGTACAGGAGACAATTCCCTACTCTTTTCCGAAGAATGTACAGTACTACGTTATTTAACGTGCTCATGCAGGCATATTTCAGCAAACAACAAAAGGTTAAGGTGTTTACGTGAAATTGTACACCGCACTGATAATGTGGTGCATGACGGAGAATATACTTTTAACGCGTGAATGCTTCAAATCATTCACCCTTTCTCAAGAAGCAGATTGGACGACTGAACAATATTCTTTCTGAATAATAGAATACAATTATTTAATCCCCAATTGTTGGTACCAGTTCCGCAACAGTACCACACAGTGAACCTACATAACTGTGTACAAAGGTGAAGCCACTTTTATATTGGCTTCTCTCAGGGTGTGTAAACGAATGAAATAGCATTTTGTTTAATGAGCCTATATAAGTATAAACACATTTATATACAGTACATTAGGCAACATATTAAAGAGGCTATAATGGAGAGGGGGGGGGGGTTCCATGTATATTTAAATTACCCTATACATTACTTTCTATAATCATTAACGCTTGGTCATGACTAATGTACGTTAATGACACTTTACTACACTAAGCAATATAGTTAGCTACTTATACCGGTACCGACGACACAAAGCATGGATTATAGAAATCTATATACAACCACGCACTCAATTTGATGTGAAAAACTTATATTATCTCTTTATTATTATAATAAATCACACTGACAAATAACATCCACTGTCGGGAGAAAACCACAAGTGACAGCAAAAATTACTGTATATAAATTTCAATTTATTTCAAAAAACACCTCCAAGAAGGAGAACATCAAAAACACAGGCAAAATACAGAAGAAAAGCTAACAAAGATATTTGTTGTATATGTATATATATATATATGTATATGTATATATGTATATGTATATGTATATATATATATATATATATATATATATATATGTATATATATATAATTTAATATTACATCAGGTTAAAATATCTAGATAAAGAGCATTAAGCCCTGTGCAGATTATCAAATTTTATTTGACAGTAACATGTGACATGCCTAAATATGGTCATGATGACATCACATCGTGAGCATATAGCCACATCATGACTATATATGGCCATACAACAATTGACAAAAAAAAATATTGAGAAACATTTATCAATTTGAAGCCGAAAAAATATATATATAAAAATGAGAAACAAATCGAAAGGAGTGGGATTTTTAGGAAAAAAAACCCAATGAGATTCCTAATAAACATCATAGGCATAACAATTGGTGCAATACGGTGTTTCCAACGTCATTCATATATATTTATTTAAAGAGGAGACAGACATTTGATAACAAACATACTGTGAAACTTATACTGTACATATTAGGCCTGCATACCTGTATTAGAGAATGTTGAAAATTCTTTAATTGAATCATAAAACTAAGTAAATATGATTATAATGCTTGTAAAATAGCCTTAACCAAAACTCAGTTTTATTAGAATTGAGTCATATAGGCTATATTTAATTTGTAAAGACGATAAGTTTACAATTAAACCGAATTGAATACGTTTTTTTTTTGTATTTCGTTCGCCATGCAGTATCTCGTGTTAATTTTTAGACGAGTGAACGAAAAAACAAACAAATAAAGAACCATCATTTTCATTCCACTTTATTTTGAAATAAAACAACATATTAAATCAACATGACAAGCATGCCACGTTCACTTATATTCCATCATTATTACTATTTAGTTTTTCTTAGCTTAGAGAAAATATATTACATGTAATATAATTTCTCCATGCTTAGATTAACCTGAAGTTTGATTAACATACTAAAAAGAAGAGCAATGCATTTCTTGTGTGATTAGCAAACGAAAGTATCAAAACCGCCAAAGCATGTAATGGAAGAGCGAAGAAAGAACACACACAAAACTATTAACGATACAGAGTTTGTTCACACTTGGCTAACGATGACACCGATCTCAAATATTCAAAATGACAATTATTGAGTCATTGTAATTTATAAAAAGAAGAAATCAGTATAGTATCGCACCCTTTTGCCAAGTAGGCAAGCAAGATGGCGCATGGAGCTAGGTACAATAAGCAGACAAATTTAGGATACAAATACACGAGAACATGATACGGAGCTAAAATATAAAAATGCACTATTTGAATTAAATAAGTTATTATTTTCCTAATAGAAACAATGGAAAATGTTACCTCACAATTTTTGTATTTATTTTCGTAAATTGACTGATGTAGTATTCATGAAACTATTTTCAAAGTGTTACACAGATTTGTTTGAAAATTAAGAAATAAGGCGGTGGATATACAGTACGGTAATAATTTTAATGATGTGAAAATGAGGACAGTTCTGAAAGGCTTAAAATACACTTTAATACACGAGTTCAAGGGTATAGCAATAGTAAATTTACACCTATGCTTATGTTTTACGTGTAAAACTGTTCGAATATAGTATAAAGTTACAATACACCACACAAGAAATTTAACTCGGAAGCGGTTATTAGTTAGATACTAATTTTTGAATATTTAAAAACTGAGGGACAGGGGGCGTAACCATCCATTTTATTCATCTTTTTCACCAAGTTTTTAAATGTTAATAATCCAAGTAAAAAAAGTAGTCTTTCGTCCTAATATGTTGAAAATAGGAGAATGAGGGAACTTTTTCTTCTTTTTTTTTTTACTCCGAGATGGGAAACAGCTACTACTTTCTCACTTTACCAAGGAGACACATTCAAAGAAAATAAGAGAAGCACTAGACATGATTCATACCATCATGGAGGTTCTTTCCTCCATGACCATATGTTTTGCCAACCACGAACGATCGATATAGGAAGTTTACTGATGGGTGTTTCGTAAAATGAAGGACAGTTTGAAAAATAAATAAATTTAAAAAATTGGTGAGGTAGAGAAATGGATGCGCGAGGGGATGAAAAATGAGTTTTTCGTCAAATATGCCTTTTGTGTCTTACAAAAATCAGTTCTACCATGCACTCACGCCAGCGTCCGCAGAATCAGAAAACACTGAGGTAGAAACTGATAGCCTTTTTTGTCGCCTTCTGTTGGACTGACTAACAATGGCTACTCCTCGGGAAGATGGTAACCGAGATGCCTAATTAACATAAAACACCATCTCGGTGGCCATATTGACTGTAGCCAAACTTTTTTTGGCCGAGTTGACTTGTGGCAGAGTTGACTTGTGGAGTTGGATCGAATTCGTTAGTCAGGCCAACAGAAGGCCATAAAAGGCTATCAGTTTCTACCTCAGTGTTTTCTAATTCTACGGACGCTGGGGTTTGTATAGAAACACTCCATCAAACCCTCCAATCATTACAAATGTAAACATTTTAAAAACCATAAGACCTATGACTTCAAAAGTAAATATATTTTAATTATTAGTCATATTTATTGATTATTAGTGCTCATTATGCTCATTTATCATGATATTAGATGAGATCGACTATTTCTGTCAATGTAGTCAACGATTAAAGGCAATTAAACTCACCTTATCGGCCATGTTTGTGCCTCTTGTTATAAGCTTCTTCTTAAGAATCCAACTATAATCTACCAATAGACACAATTTCTAAATTAAGGAACAAAATCTGTCTCAGTTTGACGCGTTTAAATCCTGCTGATTCAACTGTTAAACTGGGACTAAAATTGGGTTGGGTTTTAAGCGATCTAACTGTGAATCACCTGAACCCTATTCTCATACTGTATACCACAAGAATCAATGGCATTATTTTTGAGCATTGGGCATGCAATGCACTGTTATGCTAATTTTCATGTTTGTGTGGATTAGCTGGATACAATTGAACTGAATTATTATACGTTTGGGTAAGCCTAAGTAGCTATTGTTCACGATACTGCCATAGTATTTTGAACTGTCATTTTGTAATGCCAAGTCAAAGCTGTCTTTGGCTCACTACAGCGAACCATAACCTTTTTTATAATTTATTTCACCTTTTTTTTGTTTTTTTGGAGGCGAATCTATTGGTAAGCATGGCGCCTACTTTTAATTCAGTGACAATGCAACCTAAATGAGTTGCTCTTCCACCATTCACTCTCTACAGATGGATGATTGCGGACTATTTAAATACCGTTTCCTTTCTTTACAGATCTAGTGTGGAAATATGTAGGCCTATACAGAAAGAAGTAATATGGCGTTGTATTTTAATTTTGTATCCTGCATGTTTCTATTCAGGGATCCTATGTCTATGTCTCTTGAATAAATTATTCATTGTAAATTGAATTCAGACAGGTCACGTCAGTCAAATGCAGTGACAATATCGTTATAAATTAGACAATATTCTCAAACAATGCATTTTGTACATCAAAATGTTAGTAGCTAGTAGCAATAATAAGTGTCCGATCCCTCGTAAGCACCTCCGGTAGTCTAGGACAAAGTTCCTTCTTAACAGGATCTGTAACTGAACTTGTCCGTATCTGCCAAACAACCTGGGAAAAGATACGTACCGCTAATCACCATGTATAAATCGCCGTGTATCTGAGTACAAACACAATTTTTTAAAACAAAAATAAAACATCTCGTAATAAATGTCCATAGGTTCATGCATACTCTCACTAGAATTATCATGGCGCTGACGTCCAGTAGGCCTATTGGTTATGGTAGCCTTGTCTCAAATAAAATAATACCGTATCACATGTATTCTCATGGCTATGCAGTCTCATCTTAAAGAAAATAATATCACTAGTATTCTCATGGCTTTGCAGCCTTATAGCAAAAAAATATAATGTCACCAGTATTATCAAGGATCTGCAGCCGCATCACATGTACGGAAAATACAAAATTAACACAGAATTATCACATTTTTGCAACCTCATTCATTAATAATTCAATTTGAAAAAAAAACTTAATATCCACATGTTACGCAAAGGACAATCGTAAAGCAATCGTATGAAATTCAGGAGAATGTCCATGAAACAAAGGACGATCACATCTACCGACGATAAGGATTCCCCAATCATCATAATGAACAATGCGACTGAAGCTATCAGCAGTTCAGCTTCTCATTTAATATCGAGTAATCCACTCTACCTTCAAGTTAATGCCATTTTCTAGACATGTTGTGTAGATCACATAACCCAAAGCATGTAATTCAGTTTTACCAATACCCACCTCTCATCGTTTATTAAGTGAGGTTCAAGGAGAATTCAGAAAGAATAGAAGATGTGAAAATCATATCTATACTCGTAATAATGTAACTAGACAGACTGAAGGGGAAAACATACCTCGCTTTCTTAGACATTAGAAAAGCATTTGACACTGTTTGGAGGGATGGTCTTATCTACGCAATTAGCCGCATGGGTATCAAAGGAAATTTGTTAAGCATAATGAAGAACTTGTACACTGATGTCAGATGTAAAATAGTATTAATTTTGGTGATGTTTATTAAACTGATTTTTTTAATATTGAAGAAGGCTGTACGCTTTCTCCACTGTTGTTCTCAATATTTATAAATGAAATGTACAAAATGATAATTAATAGGATTCTTGGTGTAAGTATTTTTAATGTTAAAATTGATAGTCTGTTTTGGGCAGACGAGAGGGTTCTTATTGGAAACAACGAACGAGATATTAAACTTATTATTAGGAACAGCCGGAGAATTTTCGAAGAAATGGAAACTCGCATTCAATTTTGAAAAATCAAACGTTATTATTACTGGACAGCGAACAAATATACATAGGAAGTGGCAATTAGGAGTTTTCAAAAATAGTAATCGTATCATAGCCATTAAGTCAATAGTTAACGAACAAGATGATTATAACAGAATATATTACGAATATCTAATATTGCATGCAAAACTGACATCAACACTTTATCGACGGATTATGTAGAACAGAAGAGATACTCTCAGATGCTCAGGAGGATTTAGACCAGGACGTTCAACAATTATAAACGTTTCACATTCATAAACATTTTAAAAACATTTCTCCTCGCCATAAAAGCAAACCTTGGACTAAGTGGCAGGAAGGATCATCTGGAAGGCACTTAGTTGGCTTTTTTGGTTTTAATCATCTGCATTTCACTCTACAAAAAATGTGCAAGTACTGAGAGAGTGCAAAATGGAGAATCATAGTTCACTCCTACTCTGTACTTCAGCGGTTGAAGTGCACTTAGAGAATACAAAATTTCGCTTTAGATGTTTATTATTATAGCGATTAGAGTGTTTTATCCACTGCAAAGCAACTACACAATATAAAATGAAGAAAACGTTTTAAATAGTTTATGGCTATGTTCTCACACGGCAACTAACGGTTAGCACGATCCGGATCCTACTAACCGTTAACTGTTGGCGTCCATACGAGAAAATCCCGATCCGGATACCAAGAGTATGATGATCGAATCACTGGCCAATAAGAAACTGGAAATTGTAAACGCTTACGTGTGATTGGTTGATGATAGAAACGCGTCACTTCCTAACCGATAGCGCTTGCTAACCGTTAGCGGTATCCGGATACCGCTAACAGTTAGCGCTAACCGATCGGGCGTTCTCACACAGGTGCTAACGGTTAGCGCTAACGGTTAGCTCCCGATCTGGATACTAGGTCTCTCGTGAGAACATAGCCTATGAGGACCTCCAAAACGGTGGAAACCTGTGCACCAAAACAGTTAAATGACGTAAGCATTTAGTCTCAAGATGCAAGACAATAATCCAAGCCATTAGCAAACAGGATTGCAAATAAGCAACTCCAATATAAACGAATTCTCTATATCAAGGGAAAAGGTACTCAAACAGATTCATGCTCAGAAGGCTTTCTGAAGGTTGGAACTGGCAGTTTTAGCGGTACACAATGTCGAAGTATCTGGAGCGCATAGTGCATTAAAGTCAACATACCAAGATAAAGCTCTATGGTCTACGTTCTATCAATAATGTTCTATTGAAGCGGACACCTGAACTGTAAAGGGGGGAGGATGGTAATCAACTGCTAAATTTTGAGATGCACAAGAAGTAAATGAAAAGTGGCATGTATAGACAGGGTCCAAGGCACCATGATCCATATAAGTTATATGGATAGTATAATAACATCTTGAAAAAACTATCACTCAAGGTGCTACGATATTTTGGCAAACAGACGCTTACCAAAGATGACTTTTGGATGTCACATCCAGGGGACAAGACCAAGCGGGAAGACCTTCACAAAGATGAACCAGGGACGTAGGATTTTGAAAGGGGGGGGAGCCGTTATACCGAGCGAAGGTGTAGTGTTCCCCTTCCTACGGCTGGGGGTGCAAGGGCCCCCGGTGGGCTAACCCCCTGGGAGGTAGCGCACTCTGAACGTTTAAGGACTGTTTTGAGAGGATAAAGTGAAAAAATAGACGCATCATAAATAGGCCTAATATTAGTAAGTCTTACAATAATTATAATAACTAAATAGTGGCGAATCCATAAATTCTGTCTCTGGTTGTCAATCTGGATTCTCGTTGTTATTTTTTTAAATATCTACCAGCTAATCCACGCTATATATTACAGATGATTGAGTCGACAACACTAAGCATCGTCTTCTAAATTGTAAAAATATTTTGATGATTCACCTCATCTCTCCCATCTTCACAGGAAAAAATATCTTGAAAGTGTACACACCCATCCACATTTTAGAAAGATTCAGAGAAACTTTCGTGTTTCAATTTTCTTCAATTTGTATAAACAACATGGAAGCTATTTCTTTTGTTACAAATTCATTATCTCATAATAGTATTTCCTTAAAACATTACAAGTCAATTCAAGTAAAATCTATAGAAATTTTCCATATGAGGAAATTAAATATGAACATTAACATTAAAACTGACATAAAGAAATATAAGTCTATCTAAAAATAATCAAAACAGTAAAAATCAACACATTCAATACATCAATACAACAATACATAGGTATACATGGGTACATTAACCAATACAAAAAGAGACACGAAAATCTTTTAGGCGTAAATCTCAATTTACACACGAGAAAATCTTTTAGGCGTAAAATACAATTTACATACGGAAAAGGACAATGCTTTTCCGTCAGAAGAATTTCAATACCCAGCTACCCAGAAAAGAATCAAACTGGGCTACATTAAGACGTCAATGCTGAAGCACAGGTTTAAGTTCCGTGTTTCTTAGGTCTATTATGCTTATACTACAGTTATAAATAACAAGCTTCCTCTCAGTTCAATTACTGTGTTCTATATGAATGTGTATAAAGGACGTCACGGTAAGTGTTGCATGGTATTTCCCGTCATTTATATAACACCAGCAGGTTGGAAACTGACATTATCTATGCCGTGGACTGTGGGGGTGTATGTTGCCTTGTACTCGACTGGGCCTAACCATGTACCACGCATCGAATGTACCGACTTCGCCTCCTCTCTGTTCACGGAGTCCGTTGGTCCGAAGTCCGAAGTTGGTCTGGATATTTCTGCAATACGCTGTGAAAATAAGGCGTGCTTGTTAATAGATGTATGGAGCAATTGAACAAGGAACATGTTTATGCCTAAAAATCTTCTTTACCAGTATTAAATACGTGCTAAAACAATCACGACCTCTCCCCAAGAACCACAGTCGGACAGCTTAGCCCCCAACCCTCCCCTACCCGTTCATCCTGGTGCCACCATTAACTACATAACGTTTTTAATTTAGAATCACGTGACTTACTTCAACAAATGTTCCTGATGCTCTGCTATACTCAATCAGCATAAAAATAGGAGTAAGGATGAGTGTAGATACAATAATCACCCAACCAATCGCGTTTGCCCATGTCGGAAAAGGTCCATTGTACGTAGGCGCAGACCACTTTATCCAAATTTAATAATAATAATGATGATGACGATGATGATGATAATTATGATGACGCTGACGACGACGACAATAACGATATGATGACGACGACGGTGATGATGATGATAATGATAGTGACAATTACGGCAATGGCGACTACGACAAGAACGACAGCGACAACAACGACAGCGACAACAACATTAACATTATCAATAACAATAACAATAATATTATTCAAATCAAGTGTATTTTCTTATTCTAGTAAGTTCCCCTACCTGACTGTCCAGTCCCAATGTTACCTGTCTCTTATACACATCTAGATGTGTATAAGAGACAGTATATATATATATATATGTATGTATGTATTGTATCTTATTAATAGTTTAAGAATATGTTGATTGGCCTAGGCCTACTATCCTCATTTCCAATCGAATAAAGCTGTTTAGAAGTACATATCATATATCGTACAATTTATCATATTATAATTTATTATGTTATATGTATTACATTATATAAAATGAACTTGGATATGTATATGGATTCTTCAATATGGATATTATTCTTACTAAAAGTAAACCTGGTGTCAAGACCGCCCACGCTGCTATCCAGTAGTTAAACAATGGAAAATCGACCCAGGAATCTCCGATCATTGTGCGTATGTCATTACGGAATCGTGCGACTCCGTAGATCCACGATATCACGAGGCACTCTGTCATTGCGAACGTCAACAGCGCAAAACTGGCGGAGTAGGAATCCAACAAGTTAACCCAATAAATACCGGCCTATGGATATGTAAGAAGACATAAAATTGGCTAATGTTGTTTTGTATTGACGATTGCAATAAAGCACCAATACGTTGGGTTTTTTTTTCTGAAATACCCATATATTAAGCTTCGACACTAATAACAATGGTGGAAAGAACTACTCTGTTGCTATTGGTTGTTACCACGCAACACAAAGCATAGCTCACCTCAGTTACACAGATGATACTTATGCAAAACATCGTCACACAGGACACAAGCAGTACCAACGTTTTTCTTTTTCTCAGTCCAGGGAATGTATCCGTTATTGATGTAACCACCGTCTCCAATATCGTAAACTAAATAAACAAAAAACCTATTCAATTCTGTATCTCAGTATGAATATAAGCCTAGACAAAAATTATAAAATATAAAAATATTATCGTATATATTTCATAAATTTTACAAAACAAAAACCAACATCAAATGTAAGAAGCAGGACATATATAAGAAATTATTTCTGCAGAGGCCAGGGGCAGTCTGGAACCACTGATGGCAAAATAGTCACTATCCAGTCGGTAAGTAAACTAGGATCACTTTGAGACACGGGAAGCGCTCGTGTTTCGAATATTGAATACAATGGACCTTGCCCCTTGGGTATTGTTGCTAAGTTCCTACAAAACGGCAGTGTGTAAAAACATACTTGCGTTTGTAGGGAGGACAACACGTGTGTTTGTAAATTTTGCGCGTATTCCTGACCCTGTTCTGATTGGTCAATTATTAAGTTTGATTGACACTCCGGAAAGGTCCATTTGTGAACACTTCAGATGCCATTTATATGGATGCAGTTTCATACTTTTATTATTTATTAATTATCTCAATTATCATTTTTTCCCTTCTAAAAAGGGCGCATCGGTCCGCGACCGATTGAAAGGTAGGCCAATTCGCCACTGGGCGAAACAACACGAAACAACGTCCCTCTAATTACCATACAGTACTTTATTACTTGAATAGATTTCGCAACGAAACGTCGCGCCCAATCCTTAATCCACGCTGAATCTCTTAGGCGCCCTTTAATGGTATTTTGTTAGTTAGAATTTACTATTTACTACTCGGACTCTAATAAAATATATAGGCTTCCGGACAAATATATAACTACAGAACAAACATATCGTTTGTATGCTTGTATAACACGTCAAACCGCTTTATGATGATTATATTGCCATACCCGAGAAAGAAAATACACAAATTGGTTTATGAAGGTCATGTTGGGTTCAATACAAGTCAAAAATATAATCCTAGCATTGTCTGGGTTTTGAATCTACCGTGGGATTGGAGATCGACCGAGCACTAGCCATTAAAACATTTCATATTCAGTATAAAAACAAAAATAGCTTTCTACTAAATTTAATAATAATAATGATGATGACGATGATGATGATAATTATGATGACGCTGACGACGACGACAATAACGATATGATGACGACGACGGTGATGATGATGATAATGATAGTGACAATTACGGCAATGGCGACTACGACAAGAACGACAGCGACAACAACGACAGCGACAACAACATTAACATTATCAATAACAATAACAATAATATTATTCAAATCAAGTGTATTTTCTTATTCTAGTAAGTTCCCCTACCTGACTGTCCAGTCCCAATGTGACCAGCATGGCAAAGAACAAGATGGCCCACAGAGGGGCGGCTGGCATCCTCGCCAGTGCCTCTGGATACGCTATAAACGCCAAACTGAAGCCTAAAAAAACGCAAGAAGAATACATTTTGGAGACAAGTCGTGTCTCTAAATAAACTTAAATCTCTCTAAATAAACTTAAACTACATTTTTATAGGATTTTTTTCTTTCTTTTTTTAATAATTTGATAATGGCTTGATTTCTACCACTTACTGTTAAATATACTAAAATACATTGCTATGCTTTGATAAATTAAATGAAAAAAATATAAGAGAGCATTTCATAAGCATAGTATATAGAGTACGTTTCTCTTTCCATCATTCAGGGGGTAAGCTTTATCGGCGTAGTAAAAATTAGTATATAATAGCGTCTTCCCTAGTTACTTTTATTCTTCGATCCACCGTAACTTTAGTGTTAAATTCACTTCTATTATAGTTATATTATAAGGGTAATTCTATTATTATTATTAAATGGCTGACGTCGCCTTTTATACTTATGTTATAAATGAAGTAAATCAACCATACTATATTTGTTTAGCATACTTTTCTATGGCACTGTGTCAACCATTATGTTTTATCTCTATTTAATTACACTGTTGTAATTTTTTTACAACCTTGTTTGTTTGCATAGCAGTAGACCCATATGTGTTTGATTACGCTGAATAAAAATGAAGAGTAAAGTAGGCCTAGCTGCTAATGATGTTATGAGTTTCTTTGTCAAACCCTTACCATTTTTATAGGCCTCATTCATATCAAATTAAACTTAGTAGGCCTAACAATAATGACTATGATGGTGTTAATGATGATGGTGGTGATGATGTTGGTAACGATGATGATTGTGAAGAAGGTGGTGATGATGGTGGCTATGATGATGATGATGATGATGATGATGATTATGATGATTTTATTAACTATTAGTGACCTTGATCAACAACTTCGTCGACCTCTCTATCAAGTTCATGCGCCATGTATCCGAGGATTGAGAAGATGACGAAACCTGCGAAAATGCTCGTGCAACAGTTAGCGATCGAAACAAAAATAGCGTCACTGAAAAAAAGAGATAACAAGAAGTCACAAATGTAATGTACGCCAAACGACACTAAATCAAGTGGCACACGGGACAGGAACTCAAATAAGGCAATGTTAATTTCTACTCAAAAATGGGTTAGGTCTATAAACTAGAGTATGTATGTTATTGGTCTAGGCATGTGAGTTAATTTTTCGTCGGGCATATTGGCCAAACCATGTGAGTGTGAATAGCCTACATGATGCTGGCGCTGCACTATATGCATGTGTCAAAAATAACATAATACTTTACGTACAAATAGCAATTGTTGTGAAATTTGTTGTAAGATGAGAGAGTCAGCAAGCCGCCCCACGCAGCACTGAGCGAATAGAATATTTGAATAGCAGCGTCTTTCCATACCTTAAGTAAAATCATTTAAAAAATCTTTAGACTTTGATAATAAAAATAATAATAATAATAATAATAATAATATAATTTAAAAAAATTATAATATTCTACTATCTGTATCAGACATGATAATTGTAACAATACATCGTGCAATCACAATTATTTATTCATAGCAGACACAAGAATTCTTTTGTTGTGAGGTTTGGGCGAGTCGAGTGGTCATTAAATAAAGGCAGAGGCGCCGTCACAGACTTAACATCGGCACTGGTTCGAGAGACGGTCGTCGCGCGCCGCCAAGGATTTAGAAGGTAGGTAGGCCTATATTAGAATAATGTCTTATTTGGATAAGGACATAAAACCGGATGTCCAGTGTATTGTTGTTTTTTTTTTTGTTTTTTTTTTAAATAGGTGGTTTCTCCGATACTCTTATTCATTGTAGGATGATGTGAACATGACAATACATAAGCACCTTCGGCTGCAGCTACAGTACCGTAGCCTTGGGTCACGCCCAAATGTTATTCGCAACGATGCCCCAAAGTTAAGTATAAAAAGATACGATTCTAATTTTTTTTTCAATGCACACTCTCGAAACCACGAACCAATAGACCTACACTTAAAACACACGTAGGCCTCAGATTAGAAAATAAAGGTGAGAAAGAAGAAATAATTGAAAATTCATATACAATTAAAGACCGAATACTATATTCCTAGGACTTTATTATATACAAATGTTAAAAGTGGTCTACATCTTAAATTTAAAAAAAACCAACCAATAAAAATCAATAGGCTATGTGTGTCCAGTTACATCAAAACCAGGCGCTTGTCGGCAGGCAGGATATTCTACAAAATGCTATAGAACATGAAAAACGTGTTGGTTGTCAATTTTTAGATTTTTATTATACCTTATAGAAAATTTACCGTAGATTTCAGAAATGTATGTCTCTTTGTGAAATTCCAAACTGAAATCTAAAAGAAATCAGAGAAACTGAGGCGTACCTGCAGTGTTCATTTAGATTTGATAGAAAAACGATACTGTAATTAACCGATATAATAAATATTTTACATTTTATTTGAATGTGTAATATATTGCAATAATGAAAGCTTGCAATTACCTTGGCTTCCCATAGCTTGTCCCAGTTTGGTGTAATAAAGAATTCGATACCTTTTTCGTGCCCTTCGAGAGTTAATCCACGTACAAGCAATATCAATAGAACAACATACGGGAAAGTAGCGGTGAAGTAAACAACCTGTTTACGAATGAATTCAAATATTATCCTATTATTGTGATTATACATAGGAGTTATGCTTATCATTCACCATTTTCATTCCCATCGTCATCCCATCGTCGTCGTTGTCATCTTCAACATAACCATTAGGCCTATACATATATACATCATATTCATCAATTTTCCTCTGACCATTGTGCAATAAATTTTAATTATCCAATTGAATTTAATAATAATTATAATTACAACAATGACCAACGATTACGTTATAACTTTTAAAAAATTAATAATTCTGATTTTATTGAAACACTTACCCATATCCCTTGGGACATACTCAATCTTGCTCCTGATGTTAATGAAGCAACGGATATATTCTACGATCTAATTTTTGCAACAATTAATGATTTAGCTCCCGTATTTAAACCTAAGAAAAAACTTCCTCCCTGGTTCGACAATGAACTTTATAATGCACTTAGACTTAAAGAAACTTACTTTAGAAAAAAGAAGAGAAATTGTAATAGATTGAGTATTGAAAATTTTCGTTTTGCCAGATCTAACTTCAAGCGGTTATGTAGATTTAAGTACCGTTCCTATGTTAATTCCTTATGTACCGGTAGTGATCTTAGTTGCAATCCTAAAAGTTTTTGGTCTTGGTTAAAATCTTCTCGAAAAAATAATGGTGTCCCCTCTGAATTAAATTTTGATGGTTGCTCTGCTTTTTCATCTAGAGATAAAGCAAATCTACTTAATCTTTTTTCTATTCAGTTTACAACCCTAAAAATAGCAATTTTGATTATATCCTCATCTTCCTGATTATCCTTTAGACAAGTTTTCTCAAATTCTTTTTAGTCAAAACAGAATACAAAAACACCTTGGTGAATTAAATCCTAATAAGGCATCTGGTAACGACGGTCTTAGCAACAATATATTGTGTCTTGCTGCTAAGCCTCTCTCTCTACCATGTAAAATTTTATTCGATAGGTGTATCTCTGAAAAAAGTTTCCCGAAATTGTGGAAGCAATCCAATGTATGCCCAGTTTATAAGGGAGGTTCAAAATCGGACGCACATAACTATAGACCAATCTCATTAGTACCCACAATTTCTAAAGTGTTTGAGAGACTTGTATTTGATCAAATTTTCAATCATATCTCGCCTGTTATATGTGATCATCAGCATGGGTTCTATCCTGGAAGATCATGTGAAACAAACCTGCCTGTACTTCTGGCACACGCTTATTCAGCAATCAATTCCAAAGGTCAGTGCGAAGTCATCTATACAGACATGGCCAAAGCTTTTGACAGGGTTCCACATGATCTTCTTTTGTATAAACTCAAAAAGTTTGGTTTCAGCGACGACCTTATTGTTTTCTTTACTAGTTATTTAAAGGGAAGATTTCAGAGGGTTATCATTGATGGACATACATCAGAATGGCTTCCAGTTCTTTCAGGCGTTCCACAAGGTTCCATTCTTGGGCCACTGTTTTTTATTATGTTTATTAACGATTTTTCATTCATTCCTTGTCACTCTAATTTCCTTTTATTTGCAAACGATATTAAATTATTCAAATCAGTTTCCACCATGCACGATATGTTGTTTCTTCAAGAGGATGTGGATGGTCTTATTGACTGGTGCAATAAATGGTGTATGTCTGTCAATGCCTCCAAATGCAAATCAATGTCCATTACACTCAAGAAAAAACCCATTTTGTATAACTTTAAAATTAACAATATTTTACTTGAAAGAGTTTATGTACACAAGAATCTTTGTGTTTTCTTCGATAGTTCTTTAACTTTTTGTAATCATATTAATTTCATTGTCTCCAAAAGTAACAAATTACTTGGTTTTCTCTGGAGGCATTGCAGACATATTAACGATAGTAAGGCTTTAGTTACTTTATATAAGTCTTTAGTTAGGACCAATCTCGAATTTTGTTGTGTTATTTTCAATTCTACTTTCTGCATCAGTCGACTAGGTTACAACGTGTTCAAAATAAGTTTCTTAGATTTTATTCTCGCAAATTTGGTTTTGTTAGTAAAGATTTTTTTACCCCTTTGGCTGACCGCCGTAAACTTTTTGATTTAATTTTCCTTTTTAAATGTATGAATGCTATCTACGATGGAAATTTTGCCGTTAATTTTTCTCTTTCTGTACCACAATATCAATTACGTAATCCTGTTCTCTTTTCAATACCTGGGGGGAGAGTCAACGTTACTAATCATGGGTTTATTAATCGTCTGCCTAAGTTATACAATTCTTTATGTAAAACTGATTTTTCTATTGACATTTTCTGTGATTCTCTTATGTGTTTTCGTCAAAAAGTTTTGTCCAATATTAGTAATATTTAGTTATTCTTACTTATCGTAACTGTATATTCACCTATTTATATTTAGATTTTATTATTCAATCCTGTAAAGGGTGACTTTGTTCACTGTTGGACTTTGATTAAATAAAATTTTAAAAAATAAAATAAAATAACATCATGCCCATCAACATCGTCATTTATCATTATTTTATTTATCAATAAAGCACCATCCGTGGTGAAATACCATGTACCCAGAGTGGCGGATCTAGGAGTCTTGGGGTGGAGGGGGGTGGGGGGGGGGGGGGGGGGGGTGCGCTCGCACACCTTAGATACGTCACAGCATATACCAAGAGCAGATGAAAATAAATTATTACTTTAGGGATAAATCAATGATAATGATACAGACAATGATAGTAATGGAAATTTAGGCCATACCTTTCCGGATGACTTGATACCACGCACAAGACACAGGAATACGATGACCCAAGCACCGATCAGGCAGCCAAACAGGTGCCAAACTACGCCGCCTAGTTCTCCTATACCATCAGATTCTCTTAATACTTTATTTCTAATAACAAAATATAAGATCAGAAAAAGTAACAGAAGAAAACAACCTTAAAGCATGATACCGTAAATGATCGAACAAGCACCCCTTCGAATATGATGATAGATCACGAATTTTTTCGATACTTAGGCAATAATTAGAGATAGAGAGTATAATATTTTGAATGAACGTCACAGCCGTTTATAGAGAGTATTTTTGCAGTATCCAATATGCCTCGATTTTGCGTATCATCGAAAAAATACTAACTGATCTCGTGGATGACTTTCGCGTTTCAATACGGTAAGTCATAGTTCTAAGTACAGCGTTTGGCACCATCGATAATTTTGTAATAAACGCAGCTTTTGATAAGCACTCTCGAGAAATGTTGAGACGCTTAATGCTCAATTTACAGTCAGAAAGACACCAAGAAAACTTCACCACACGGTAAAAGTGGGGTATTATTACCGGTTGGAGAGACATAAACACCTATAAATACAAGCTTTCAAAGTTATTTAAGGGTTGCGCCAGCGAGGGCCGGAGGCAGGGTCCCCATTAGGGGAGAACTACCCACCTCGGGGAGAAAAACCACAATTCGTCGGGGAGAAATAGGCCTATGTATTTTCTACATATTAGTAGACTCTAAAATCGATTGAATAAGCCTTTGAACCCCTAAATTGTTAAAATTTCGCCCCCTGGACCATTTTCCTGGGCCTTTTAATCGAAGCTCGACCACGCCCACATTGCTTTCCGCTAAATCTAGTAGGCCTATAGGATACATGAAACTCAATGTATCATAGATCAGATTTATTATTATTATTATTATTATTATTATTATTATTATTATTATTATTATTATTATTGTTGTTGTTGTTGTTGTTGTTTGTTGTTATTTATTATTATTATTATTATTATTATTATTATTCTATATTTGTATGTGTTTTTAAGTACTATTTACTATTTACCTATTGATTCTATGCCATAAACATTAGATAACTTTTTAACTGTCTATTTTTTAATTATTTTTTTTTTTTCGTTTTGTGTTCATTATTATTATTTATAAATTATTGTATTATTTATACACGTTTCAATTTTGTACGTGTGTTGATTGAGAACAAATAAAGTATTATATAAATAAACAATATTATTAAACAATATTATAAGTAATTTTTTTTATATATAAAGACCATCAAATGTGGAATCTACCTGTAATATTCCTCGCTTGCAAGAACTCGTTGCGACGCGAAAGGATCTGTGTACCCCGACACATTCGCTGTACCTGTGTTGGAGTCATACGTTACGTTGTAATGTTCCCTCTGATTTTGTGTCAGCATCGATACGTTAACACAGCCGTTGGTGTCATTAATTATGCTATCGCCTAAATCGATACAGTCTGTATAACGTCCATAGCAGTTGTCAGTGTTCCACGTGTTGTCGCAGTTCGTCCAGGGTAGGGTTTTCCGCATCGAAGCGAACATGTAATAGAGGGCGTACATTATGATGACATTGTAGTATATTCCGACGAGAGCAGACACCAAGATCATGCCATACCCAATACCTACAAGGCGAATTAATAAATGTTTTATCTGTAGCATAAGGCCTACCATAATCTAAATGTCATAACATAAATACTGTATAATTTTATATTTTGGTCGATACAAAATACATTATGATGATGCCCCACACTAATAGTAGCGTGTTATTAAATTGTACTGAAGGAAGCAAAACAAAAGTCATATCTTAGAACAGCGATTACAAAAATCATAAATATTCATGAGTTCAAAAGTATTATTACCAACTCAAAGACATTGATGTTATTTGTCTTTTTAGGCATATAAAACACCTTCGATTGATACAACAATGTTAACCCTAAAAATACACATGCTGTGGAAATTCTGGAAACCCCTAAACATAATTACAATATTATTGAACTGCTTATTCATCTAACGTCGGTACACTTACCATTAAGAAAATATATTACCAAAATAGTGTATAAACATAATATAATAAATTTGTAAATTACTATGAATTACCGGTACGTAATTATGATCAGTAACTTCATCCCGATTATCCCGATTTCTATTGCTTATTAATAAGTACCGTATAACATTAAAAAAAATACAACAAATTTGTTCATTCTTTCGTTTATGCATTTACTCAATATAATATTGTACAAAAGTAATTATTATTTTAAACATAAGATTGCTATATACGGTATCTATATTCGTTGTTTACGAAAACAGAGTTCAATACTTAAACGTGACCATGCTGCTGTAATATTTAAGCGTGTGTGAACCCCCCAAATTTCCCTCACCCAATATTGACCTTACCTCTGAACATTGGAGATATTTTCCATGCAGTAGCTGGACCACTGCTGGAGTACTGGCCAAGGCTTACTTCCATAAAGAACACTGGTAACCCGGCAAACACCAGCATAATAGCGTACGGGATGAGGAAAGCTCCTAGTTAATAACATAAACGTTTTATTAGACATGTTAACGGTGGATTGGGCATAACCTACATAGATTTAGGATTTAATCAATAGGCCCTAATCAATTTATTGGAAACATTAAATGCATAAATAAACAATAAAAAATATTTGTATATATGATGTGTCTGGTGTAGGCTGGTGCTGAGCAGAAAGAGAGGAACACTACAAATTACATCAATCGTAGAGAACTTGACGATTATCGGTAAAACTAACCTCCTCCGTTTTCGTAACAAAGATACGGGAATCGCCAGACATTACCAAGTCCCACGGCATACCCCAGACAAGACAGTAAGAAGTCGGCCTTGCTCCCCCATTTTCCTCTATCTTCCGATTCATCTACCCCAGATTTAACTAGGTCAGTCGTACTCTGTTGTTTAAAAAAAAAATCAGAGAAGGAAACGTGTCACTGATTAAAGTGTGTTATGATCGATTATCGCTACAGTCTAAATCTAGGCTTGCAGTCTTTCATGTCTGATTTTCTGTGATGCCATGCGCATCTCAAATACAGGCGAGCTCGATTTAGAATGTGAATCAAACTTTGTAAAACTACCTGATTTGATAAATTCTACGTGTACAGGTGAGTACACATTAGAGTTAATACCTTATCAATTTATATATATATATATATAGGCCTACAAACTTTTACCTGGTTCGCATTAAAAATTGGCATAGTTTTATTATTATTTAACAGAGGTATAATATCACCCTATGATAAAAGCCCTCTTCTAACTCTATTTACAATAAACCCCCGCCCGCAATAAATATTTCTCCTTATAAAATCCTTTATTACGCACCGAGGTTAAGTATAATCATGGAGGAATTAGTTCTATGGTATAACAGAACAGAAATGGCCAATATTCAAGAAGGTATTGTCATTTAAGAGTGTACCTTAATCGATGAAACCCTTCCCATTATTGTATGAACGACACGCACCACCGACAAGTACCCTATGAAGTACTGTTATCATGTGGAGACGGACAGTCAAATACAAAAGGATACGCTTATGTTTATGATGTATATATAATGCAAGATAACCTATAACAAACATCATTAAAAAACAATTGAACTATTTGATGTTACACCAAATGACGTAGCACAGTAGTAGTAAAGTTGTGCATCCAGAGTTCAACCTTATAGAATGGTAACCTTCAACTTTTAAAACACTTTATTCGTTATATCAAAAGCGTATGATAGGCTCTTTTAAACAATGACTACGTCGCCCCCTTGACGCCCACGGAAAGGATATACTGTAGGCCTAAAGGTGTCGTCACATCGGTTTTTCTGATCCATGACCGGAGGAAAAAAGAACTCAACAACAAGTCAATGTATTCTCGGTTACTCATGGGACTCTTGACCAGTGGCGACACCTCCCAGAGTGAGAAAGAAATCCCTTCTCCGTGGCAAGCATGATCTGTCGTCAAACTCCACCACCATACCACTGTGTTCGTCGAACTAAAATATGCACTTCTAATCAAACCATATTTATTGTGATAATTATAAATTGTTGAACAGAAAACTATAGAACATTTCTTTTATTTTTGCATTTAAAAAAATACAATTTTGGACCAAAATAACACTATGGATAAAAGAAAAAAGCAAGTTTCAACTTAATTATAAGAAAAAATGTGCATTTTCCGTACCAGGTAGTCATAATTTTATACAAACGAAAAATACAAGAGAGGCCACCTGAGGTTAAAGTGGCAAAAATTTAAATTGCTTATTGTTTTCGAACTATAAAATGACGTAACAGTGGGACTAAGGTAGTGCACTCATAAGCACAATTTTACCAACTTAAGCCATATTGTAGGACGAATCTACTCTTTGACTAGGTCTCCACCAGGCCTTTTACCCCCAGGGGCACACTTGTATAGCAACCTTACGGAGAGGTGCAGCATCCACTCCAAGACATGAGACACTTGCGCTACCTATTTTACTAAGAATGACGAGGCCCCAGGCGGCTCCTTGGTTCGGATCTTCTGTCGGACTTGTTGAACACCTCAAATACCTTCACTAAACCTATCGAAGTGCTATCTAACCATATCCTACAGTTTATACCCTAGCATTATATGGTTTTATCGGCCATGACCAGATGAACCTAATAACAATACTTAAGCCAATACTTAAAAAAATGTATATTAACCTTTAATTGTGAATTAGGTAACAGTGGCGTAACGATGGAACCGGGATCCTATGGTTTTGGGTGCCGGAAGCTAATTTAATTGTTGTGAAAGTGCGCATAGGCGTTTACGTCGTTGCTTGGCAATTCACTAGCCAGTTCTACAATTGCTATCAGCAAGCCGAATTTTGTTCTTATCGGTCATATCGGTCACATCAGTGACGCGTTTGTAATGGCTATACCTTGTACTCTTGAAACGAGTAAATAACTCTTCGACATACCAATCAAAATTGTTTCTCTATGACGTAATACATAGGGCATCGACAATAATATTTTCTATCGTATTTTGATTGCATCACTATCATAAGCTGATATTATAATTTTCGGGTCTGTAATTCATTTTCTGCTGTTTCAATATTTTTCCTTTATGAATATCCATACGCAATTCAACCTTGTTGTGCTATGTATGTTTATAATATTGAAGTTTGAATAAATATACCTCACACATTTATGTCGGTTGAAAATGAAAGTATCCTGCACTTGTATACTACGCATAACTGGAAACAATGTTGGTCACTCGAACCTGTTATTGCTGTTATTATCCGTGACGGTAGGAGAAACAATTTCAAAAGTCAGAGGATTATCTTTTATTGTTTGTAGCTTGATTTTCTATTAGAGATTTTTATTTTAGAGCAGGAACGGGAGTGTAAGGATTTCTGATGATAGTTATTGGACTTTAAGGTTAGCCGGGATTTTCTCCAATTTGTCACAATCTCCACATGCCAGATGTTTTCTTATCGGTCACATCAATAACATGTAAGCATGTTTATACCATGTACTTAACAAGTAAATTATTATAGTATGATTATGATTTCAAATATCCTGATTGTGGGTTTCAATAAGTCAATGTTTTGTAGACTAATTATATGGTATACTGTGACGTATTAACCCGGACATCGACATTACCGTATCACATCATCTCGTCTATCTTTCCTTGTACGGTATACTTTATTTCTTTTAATTCAATTCATTTAATTTTTCAACAAACGGAAGACAGTCACAATGCTAAGGGATATATATATATGCTGTCTCTTATAGGAGATTTTTGTATGATCGGAAATGCAAAAAAAGAAGAAGGGAAGAAAGAGGAGAAGGATGGGAAAGAGAATGTTTATCTAGTACCCAACCGAGTTACATTTTCTCGCAATTCACATTGGCGGATCTGGGGGAGGGGGGTCATGGGTCCTGGGTCCTGACCCCTCCCTTGGGCAACAACAAAAGGGGAAAAAGAAAAGAATTCTAAACCTATCTTTTCAGGACCGTGAGCTGATTTTTTTTTTCTTTTTTGTTGCTATTAGAAAATTAGAATTTTGAAGAACGTAAAATTAATTAAAACACACTTCAAATGTCGGAAAAGCTCAATTTCCGCCATCTAGGAATCAAAATTTTCCCGGGAGAGAACCCCCCAGACCACCCTTTTTTTTGGGGGATTTATCGATTCATGGAAAAAATAATACGCATGCAACTACTCATTTGTTTATGTATATGTATACACACATAAATATTTATTTTGATTTATCGATTCATGGAAAAACTACGTATGCAACTTACTCAATCTTTTTTTTATGTATGTATACACACATAAGGCCTATTTACTGTATTAACAATGGGAAAAAATTATCTGACAGTTTTCAAGAGTGGAAAACCTTGAATTTTGAAGAACTTAATTACTTTCAAGTTCTTCATTCAAGGTGTTCCCCTCTTGAAAAGTATTATAATGAATCAATGAACCCAGAGAAAGGGAAGTTCGAGTTCTTTCCGGGAAAATGTTGATTTCTAAATGGTGGACAATGAGATTTCCCGACTTCTGAAGTATGTTTTTTTAATGACTTTAATTTAAAAGACACCTCAGAAGTCGGGAAAGCTCATTTCACGAATTATAGGAATCAAAATTTTCCTGGGGAAGAACCTCCGGATCCCCTTTCTTTTTGGGATTCATCGATTCATGGAAAATTCGTATGCAACTACTCATTTTTTAAAAATTGTTATGTATGTATACACACATAAGCCCTATTTAACATAATAACAATTGTAAAATTATCTGACCGATTTCAAAAGTGGAAAACCTTGAATTTTGAAGAACTTAAAAGTAATTAAAGACACGTCAGAAGTCGGGAAAGCTCATTTCCCGCCATCTAGAAATCGCAATTTTCCCGGGGGAGGAATGTTTAAAAAGAGAAGAGAAAAACAAAGACAAGAATAAAAAGGAAGATGTAATGAACAGATATCACAATACCCTGGCCTGCAACCCCTTCTCCACTTCAAAAAGTGTCCATAGCGCATTTGATCTAAGCCGCCAGATATTCTCCGCAGTGGCGTAAGCACCGGGGGACAAGGGGAAAATATCCATCTG